GCACAAAGCCAGGAAGCTTTATGAATCTCACAAAGAATTTAGCTACAACAATACTACAAGTGGTGAGTTGCAGAACAATGTTTTCTTTGTAGAGATCAGCTCCTTCATGGAAGGACCCAGGGGAAGGCAACTGTTAAACAGAACTGAACAGATTTCATCATGAACCAGATCAACAAAGTACAACTTCCGTGGGCTACCTGCTAGAATACACGACTCACCTTGTTATATGGAACCCGACGTTGATGGACTTTGCTGGTTTTCTGTAGCAAAAACTGGAAAGCCACACTCATTGGTATGCAACTACGAATGGGCAATTTTTAACCATCAAAACTCAAAAAGATCCAAGTTCAATTTCCTTGCACCGCAATCCAAATTTTAAAAATCTCACTGGGTCTGCGTTCAATTACATACTTGGAGAGCAAAGCTCACACTATTAACGTAATACAATTTCCATAATACCTTGAGTACATTTGTATGTAAATCAAGTTTCTATGAAATTAATCATGCATTCATCCAATAAATATGTCTTAAGCAATAACCTGGGGAAGCTCTACTGGAAGCAAGGGAGAAATCATCGCTCTCCTGGTGGAGGGAGTAGCCTGGTGGAGACAACCGCCCCCCATTCACGAAGAGGAAGTACAGGCTGCTCTGAGCGCACAGCAGAAGGGAGCCCCTCCCACGGCAGAAGATCCGGGAAGGGTTTCTGGAGGAAGTCACATCTGTCCCAAGCCCAGAAGGAGAAATGAGAGTTAGTCAGGTAAACGTGGAAAGAGGGGAGAGTGAGGAGAAAGGTCAGAGGCAAGTTCAAAGAACAAAAGGAAGCTCAGGGTGAATGTAAAGTGAAAGGAGAGAGACGTGAGCACTGAGGCTGGAGGCCTCTGAGGAAAAGGCCTTGTAAACCACACGGAAGAGTCTGGACTTCATCCAGGGGGCAGCAGGGAGTCTTGAAGGGTTTTAACAGCGCGATGGCTTGGCTGCAGTGTGGAGAAGACCTGGGGGAAGAGCAAGACAGATGGCAGGGAGAACACTTAGGAGGCTGTTGCAGGAATGGGGGCAAAGGAAGATGGCGGCCTGGACTCCCACAGTAAAAACAGCACTGGAGAGAAGAGATTGCATCGAGAAATACATAGGAAATGGAATCCTTTTTCATTGATTTTTTAAATTTTTATTTATTTTTAATTGAAGTATAGTTGATTTACAGTGATTCAGGTGTACAACAGGGTGATTCAGTTCATATATATATATATATATATATATATATATATATATATATATATTCTTTTTCAGATTCTTTTCCATTATAGATTATTACAAGATATTGAATATAGTTCCCTGTGCTATACAATAGGTCCTCGTTGTTTATTTTATACATAGTATTGTGTATCTGTTAATCCTAAATTCCCAATTTATCCCTCCTCCCCTTTCCCCTTTGGTAACCATAACTTTGTTTTCTAAGTTCGTGAGTCTATTTCTGTTTTGTAAATAAGTTCATTTGTACCATTTTTTTAGATTCCACATATAAGTAATATCATATGGTATTTGTCTTTCTCTGTCTGACTTACTGCACTTAGTGTGATAAACTCTAGGTCCATCCATGTTGCTGCAAGTGGAATTATTTCATTCTTTTTTTATGGCTGAGTAACATTCCATTGTACATATGTACTGCATCTTCTTTATCCATACCTCTGTCAGTGGACATGTAGGTTGCTTCCATGTCCTGGTTATTGTAAATAGTGCTGCTATGTCATTGATTTTAAATGTATCTTTGGGGACTTCCCTGGTGGTGCAGTGGTTAAGAATCCGCCTGCCAACGCAGGGGACACGGGTTCTATCCCTAGTCCAGGAAGATCCCACATACCACGGAGCAACTAAGCCCATACGCCACAACTACTGAGCCTGGGCACCACAACTACTGAAGCCCACGCGCATAGAGCCCGCGCTCTGCAACAAGAGAATCCACCGCAATGAGAAGCCCGCGCACCACAACGAAGAGCAGCCCCCGCTCACCGCAACTAGAGAGAGCCCACACACAGCAACAAAGACCCAACGCAGCCAAAAATAAAAACAACATTAATCATATTAAAAATAAAAAAAGAAAGAATATATCTTCAATTAAACAACAACTGCATTACAAATTAATGTTTAACTGCCAGGGGAGTTTACTACGATTTGTATGTTTCCCCAAACCTCAAAGGTTTAACGATCTAGAGGCACAGTGGAATTTCAGTACGTTACAACACAAATACAGACGTACAGTGCCCTTATCTTGCCACAGGCAGAATGTGTCTCCAGATTCAGAAATGTTCAGATTTTAAGACAGCACAATGCTGCATATGCTTTGTACTATGCAACACCCTCAGGTAGGGCCTGGGATATCACCCTGTAATCAAACATATTCATAACTTGCAGCAAAATGGATGAACAGTCACTCTAAAGGGAATGAATAAGAGTTCGGATCAGGTTTTGCTACAGAGCTCAAATCAGGTCTTGCTGCCAAATAAGTAATAAAATAACTTGAGGTTTTCCAGAGTACTGGGTATTTCAGAATTGCAGACAAGAGACGGTGGATCTATCATCATACCTTAATTCCTATGCTAAGTTTGGATTTTTCATATGAAAACGGTACCCTTAGCAAGCATTTTATTCCAAAGTACTGGAAAAGAGAATGCAGGCCAGGAAATAATTACAAGACCCCATTGGTAATACCCAATTGAGCTACTTAAGAAGGGTATAAAAACCTCCTTGCAGCCAGGTATCAAGGTGCTGAGGCAACCAGAATGCAAGAAAACACTCGTTCTGAGAACAGTCCCATTTCCCAAGATGGTGGGTGGAAAAACTGAGAAGACCATCCTAAGCTAAGGATGCCAATGCCAGTGTCAAGATCCAGAGGGAAGCCCCATAGCCTGAAGACCCAAAACAGGAAGCCGCCTGCGGATGGAAGCCTGTCCTAGCAGAGGAACGGCAGATATTCCCAATCTACAAGGTATTCCAGAAAAGTTATATCCAAGCAGAAGTCCACAGCAGTCAAATCCACGATTAAGAAAAAAGAGATGGTTCTTACCACTGTGACAAGGCCAACTGGTATGGATAAAAAGGGTGACACCGAAGAGTTTAAAGTTCTCAAAATGCCCAAATATCACCCTCCCAGAGATATGCTTTGAAAACTGTTGAGCAGTGGGGGTAAAAACCCAACTATTATCAACATGAAATCAGCTACGAGTGTTGCTCCTAGGGCCCCGCTGACCATCCTCACTGGCCACCCCAGAGACAAGCAGAGGGTGGTTTCCCTGCAGTAACTGAGCAGGAGCTTGCCGCTTGGGACTGGACTACTAGCCCTCATTCATCTGAGTTCCTTTACGTAGGACACTCAGAATCTGCCATCACCTCTACCAAAACTGACCATGATGGTGTGAAAGTCCCAAAGCATCTCAACAGTGCTACTTTTATGACGAAGAAGCTGCATGAGATTGGACATCAAAAGAGTTGAGCTCTTCGACTCAGAGGAAGAGAACGATAAGATTTCAGAGCAGAGCAAAAGGCAGACCAGAAAACTGTGGAGTCTCAACTTCTGCCAATAATCAGAGCCCTTCCTAGCTCCAGGTGTGGCTTCAAAAACTAACATTATGCTCACGCGCTGGTGTTCTATATCGTTTGCAGGGCCCTAGTTAAAATGTCCAAAACAAAAACAACAAACAAACAAAGAGCCTGCTGTGTCAAGGTAACTGCTTTTCTGAAGACTAACGAATAAATCTGTTAATACACCCAAATACAAGGCACTCCGCAAGACACAGAGAGCACAAGACAAGTATCATGTATACAACAAATGTCCTAGAACACCAGTGAGCCTAGAAACACACCAAGGTCATTAGTAAAGGAAAGGGTTCCAAGCCCCAGGTGTCAAGGAAGGAAAGCGTCCAAGACAATATTCAAGGAAAGGAAGTTTCAGGATACAAGACCACAGGTGTGTTGTTGATTCTAAAGGAGCACTTGGTCAGCGCAAGGCCGGTCTCCCAGTGCATCTGTGTGAGAATGTCCTTGCTCAGAAGGCTGGGTAGGGCCAGGGACGAAGGCAAATAAACTGTTTATTCCAGGTCAGAAATAAAGGTGGGAAAGTCCCCCCAAAATGCCCAGTGGAGGTTCAAGACAAATAGGAATCCGTCTCTCTCTTACCCTTTTCTCTGACGTGAGCTTTACAAAAGTTTATCTCCATTCAATGTAATAGGATAGTCTTGTTTTAAGGGCTGAATCAAGAACAAAAATTGTTTTTAGGATACCTTTTTAATTTTAGGAATCTAAACCCCCAAGAACCTAAACAAGGCCCCAAAATGAGTTTTAGCATTCTGTAAGCTATGCTACAGGCACATCAGGAAAAACCATGGCATTGCTCGAAAGAATGAGGCAGATCTGCATGTAGTGACATGAAAAGATGTCAGGGACAAATCGTTCAAGGCAAAAAGCAAGGTGAAGAGCAAAGTAGACAGTAATATACCATTTTTGTAAAACAAACTATATACATGTGTTACACGCATAGACAGAAATATTCTTCCACAAGGTGTGGTTAAGGGCCAGAAAGAACATACATAACCATTAACATTTGTTTCCTTGCGGAAAGGGATTAGAAAGAAAGGTAGAGCATGTTCCCTTCTATTTCATACATTTCAGCAGCATTTGCATTTTCTTATAATAACTATGCATTATCTCAATTTTTTAAATTTAAAGCAAGATTCTGTGAAAGGAAACAGCAGACTATTCCCAAATAAATGACTTCTCCTTATTGCTCTTTGAGCCACAGCTACAATATCCAGCAATAAGTGAAGCTCTTTCTAAATGGGTCAGTTCTTCATATTTAAGACAAGAAGAACAGGAAGACACCTGAAAGTCAGGAAAGCATGAATGAGAGGTGCTGTGGGCCATGTGGGCAAGAACCACATTGAATTCCACAGCTGTACCATCTGATTACCGCAACACCAGACTAATTCTACAGAGATGGGAAGACTCACCAGATAAAGATTATTTTTGTCCTGAAAGGCATACTGTAACTGGGGGATCCAAGGGCTTGTGCTCTGAGATAGTATGTTCTGTTCTTCCTCGAAATGTGAAACCTAGAGGAAAAAGAAACTGTTTAGACAATTATAAAGAACTAAGTGTGATGGGGAAAATGCCCTTTGCTTAAACTGATAATTCTAGTTTTGTTTTGTTTTTTTAAAAAGCCATCACTTAGCCCAACATTCCACAAATCTCATCCTTCTGCCTACTTTGCTCACCATTTTTGCCAGATCCATATGTGTCCAATTATTTACTTAACGTCTTTCTTTAAAGTCAACTCACTACTTTTAAATCTAAATCTCTTTCTCTTCCTGAGCAATTCAGTCCTAAAGCCATCAGATGGAGAAAAACCACCAGGTAAGCATCCATGACAGGTGGCAAGGAGAGCCATGGTGGCCCAGAACAGGGTGACTGGTCCAAGCAAGGTGAGGAAGGTCATCACGTGTAGGGATGGCCTAAAGCAG